GGACAGCCTTCAGACCCTGGTTCAAGCCCCACAACCACCGAAAGAGAGACAGACAGACAGACACAGAGAGACAGACAGACAGACAGACACAGAGAGACAGACAGACAGACAGAGAGACAGAGACAGAGAGGACCAGAGAGAGACACAAGAGAGACACAAGAGAGACAGAGAGATAGAGACAGAGACAGAGAGAGAGCAAATGTTAAAGCAAATAAGGTAAAATGATAACAACAGGTGAATCTGGGTAAAGAATGTAAGATTGTTCTTTGCATTATTTAACTCTTGAAACATTCTGTAAGTTTAAAGTTTAGTACAAGTAAGAAGTTTGAAAGTACTGTATACATTCAACTAACCTTTACTGTCCAAAACAGTACCCCTAACTCTATGAGGCAGCTTAACAGGTTAAATGTGGTTACTCAAATTGAGATGTGCCAATAGCTACAAAATAAAATTGTAAAATATGTTAACAATTATATATTGATTGCCTGTAAAAATACCTTAAATATACCAGGTTAAATGATATAGTATTTTCAAGATTAATCTTCATTCCATTTTTACTTTTTAAAAATATTATTACAAGCAAGCTTACCTTACATATGTGACTTCATGTGTGCTTTGTACAAAATTAAGCTAGACAATCAAGCAATTCCATGATACTAGCTTTGATGCCATTTTGCAAATTTCTGAGATTTTTGTTTTTGTTTTGTTTTCTGCTTTAAATCTATCTTTTTTCTTTTTTTTTTTTTTTGGTGTCCGGGGGGGGGCCTGAACTCTGGGGCCTGGGCACTGTCCCTCAGCTCTTCAGCTCAAGGCTAGCGCTCTACCACTTGAGCCACAGCGCCACTTCCGGCTTTTTTCTTTTTGCTTATGTGGTGCTGAGGAATCGAACTCAGGGCCTTGAGCATGCAAGGCAAGCGCTCAACCACTGAGCCACCTTCCCAGCCCCTATCTTTTTTCTTTAAAAGTCACTTGATTTTAAGCAACTTGAGAGTAGTGACAGTGTCTATTCATTGCTCTGTCTCCAGTATCTAGCACATAGAAAATATAAATAACTATTTGTTCAAAGGCATTATGCTAAAGAAGGATAAGTAAGAGAGAAATTAACTCACTCTCATATCTGAATCTTTGCTTATAACACCTTCCTGCACTGAAACTTTGCCTCTTCAATGTATATTTTCGTTGGGGGTTGGGGGGAGGGTCCAGTCATGGGACCTGAACTCTTGGCCTGGGCGCTGTCCCTCAACTCTTCAGCTCAAGGCTAGCGCTCTACCACTTGAGCCACAGCACCACTTCCAGCTTTTTTTCTTTTTGCTTATATGGTGCTGAGGAATCGAACCCAAGGCCTCATGCATGCAAGGCAAGCGCTCTACCACTAAGCTACCTTCCCAGTCCCTCAATGTATATTCTTCATCTCACAATTTTCTCCAAAGTGCACACACGCACACACACACACACACACACACACACACACAAATCCATTCTGCCCATTTCTCTGTACTACTATAGCCTCCACTGACTCTATCATTTACTTTAGCACTTAACATGTAAGTTCCTTTAAGCAGAAATTTATCCCTTATATTCCACAATAACTAGCATAGCACTAACCATATCAATTGAGCAATGAGGAGAAAGGGGTGTAAGTGGCCAAAAAAAAACAGAAATGGATCAGAACTGGGAGATTTTACTCTAGTCCCTAGATGTCTTTAGTATTTAACTGTGTTACTTTACATAAATCACTATCAATCAGTTTTTACTTCGTAACTTTTAAAATCAAAGATACAGACCAAGTAATCACGTAAGCTCTTCTATTTTACAATTCTGGAATAATTGAATCCATCCTTTAACAATATCCTTTAGGGCTGGGAAGGTGGCTCAGTGGTAGAGCACTTGCCTTGCATGCATGAAGCCCTGTGTTCGATTCCTCAGCACCACATAAGCAAAAAGAAAAAAGCCAGAAGTGGCGCTGTGGCTCAAGTGGTACGACCAGACCCAAAAAAAAAAATATATATATATATATCCTTTATATTTACCATTGAAAAAGAAATCTAATATTCTACTATTACTAAATTTCTTGAGAAAGAAATGGTAGCAAAGTTTACAAACTGCCTAAGGTAGTAAATGCTAATCATCTTTCTGGACATCAAGCCTTTTAAAGTCAGGTTTGTCTTCACAGAACTATAGGCAAAATACTCAGTACATACATATTGGAGCTACCACATCACCCTTAATGTTTCACTAGACCATTCTAAGCATCAGCGTGACAGCTTTATTTTAGTAAGCTAATGAAAAAGAAAAGAAGGCCAACGGGGAAAAAAGGAAAGGAGAATGAAGAAGGAGAATTGAGAAGGAGGAGGAAGAGGCGGCACTGAAGCCAAACTTCTATGACCTTATTGGCAATATTCAGAAGCCAACTTCAAACATTATTTAAATGACATAATTCAGAATAAAATGACCATTAAAGGTCACCTAAAAACAGACTGTTAAAGAAATGAAAAATGATTTCAAAGCATGAAGACTGTTTCAAACAAATCTCTAGCCAGGTGCCAGTGGCTCACATCTATAATTCTAGCAACACAGAAGGCTAAGATCTGGAGGACCAAGCTTAAAAATCAGCCCAAGCAGAGAAGTCTGCAAGACTCCATCTCCAATTAGCCAACAAAAAGCCAGTGAATGTGTGCATCAGTAGCAGAAAACCAGTCATAAGCAAGAAAGTTGACCAACACACACACACATACAATCTCTAAATCAGAGAGCATATTTTTATGTCTTAATACCAATGCTATAAAATAAGGTTATCAGGGTGGGGTAAAATAAAAGTTGCCATGTTACATAATTTAAGTATTCAAGTTCTCCTTGTTAGTAAATACCACCTACGAAGTTAATAAGTTATATATTCTAAATTCTAAAATAGTCATGTAAATCACAAGATTTTATCAAAATACTCCTACCAAAATCAGGTAATACTACTGACCCCTCTACAAGATAAAAAGCTGAACTCCTTCAAAGGGACTCCAGGTCCTCTCAAAACCTGGTCTTTAGCCACCAGAGTATCCTCAACTCCCACCAATCCCTGCATCTCATCTCATTTCCTAAATGTCATTATTCAGCCTCCCTTTAGTAAAACTTCACTGAAAGTTAATTGTGGGAATCACTTCAAACTTTTCTATAGAAGAGTACATACATCTATCAACCAGGGAAGTTTTGCCTCTACAATACATTTGAGTACAGACTGGAGATACTTTTGGTTATCACAGAGGCAAAGGAGTATTTGAGAGAATGGTCCTAGCCTCTAGTGCTGTTAATTTCCTACAGTGCCCAGTATGATAGCGCCCCACAACAAAGAATTATCTAATCACACTTCTGAGTTGTTTCAATATGATTAAATTCAATTAAAACTGTGTTTTTCAAATATGATTATTTGATAATATATCTCAACAATAAATACAATAAGCCAACTTTGTAGTTTCCATAAAAATGTCCTAAGCAGATGTGTATGCAAACAACACTAAAAGTGGTTTTTATCTAATCCCAATGCTTAACATTAATCCTCTGACATTTTTTAACAGCTAATCTGTAACTACCAGAAGCTAACCTCAAATAAGGAAACACTTGGTTTATTTATAAACTTTAAAGAAAAGCACAGGCAAACTAATTTTTCACTTGTGGAACTAGCACAAAAACAAATCCGAGGCATGAGGTAATCAGTTCCTCCAGGTCTGATAAAAAGAAAATACCTTTAAGTGCTTAAAGTAAATCATACACAGATGTCTACTGTTGAACAAAAGAACTGATGGCAGGTCTAAAGGCCATATCCTTGCTACTGCCAAACCACTGCTGATCCAAGATTTCAAACCCTTGGCAAAATATCATCATCATCATCATCATGTCATTCGATGGGGTTAGAGACAGAAATCAATTTTTACTCCCAATACATAACTAAGTTTCGTATGACTTTAAAAATTCAAAAAAGTTGGGAGAAGCAAAAACATTCTTTTCTTATATACTGGATGACTCAACTCTCCTGCACATTCCTTGACTGAGTACCACAAATTCTGTCCTGGGCCCCTTTAAAAATCATTTACATTTTGTTGCACTTTACAGAAAAGGAAAATAAAAACAGTAATTCAGAGAAAAAGACTAATTGTTATTCTAGAAGCTGCTCAAATAATGCATCTAATCACGTTCCAAAGCTTTAGCTTCAAGATTTTCCAGATTTCAAGCCGAAATAGCACTGGTAGGAAGTAAAGAAGTGTACAACATTTGATCAAGCTTCTGGTAGATTTTTTCTTTTCTTTTCTTTTTTGGACAGCTAAAATAAGGTACTGTGGCTTGGAGGGGGAAATGCATTTTTAATTAAAAAGGAAAAGTTTCCAACAGTGAGTAATAGCTTCCTTCTCAGCTGACTCTGCCAGATGTTAGTCCCAAGATCGGGCCCGGACTAGGCCAGGTCTCCCCTCCGCCAGCGCCGTGGTCTGGAGGCGGCGTGTCAGGTGCGTGGTCGTGTCAGACCCAGGGGAGCCCGGGTGTCACGGCGGG